CTCAAAAACCCGGGCCAGCCGGGCCGGGCCAGTGAAAATTCCTCCACCGGCCCGCGACATGTATGCTAGCAACAAAAATCCGAAAAAAGAGTTTTGGATTTCTGAAAGTTTTTGAAGTTCTCCATAAAGAAATAATTCCTAGACCCCTATTACAGAAAATCAAATAAAACAGGACCTCAAACTTTGGTTAGAAATGTTCAAAACATATAAAATTGAGTAATATTTAATACATTAAGAAAATTATATTAAATTTGTGTCAAATTCAAAACAGTAAAAGTTGTAATTCGAATTTTTAGTTTGAAGGAATATCTATTGATCAAGTTGGAAAAACGTGCAAAAAAAACGCCTCTTTAAAAGTGTTAACGTCTTCTTTATTCTCCGGATTACACTGGAGGCGTCAGCAGTCACAAGGATTAGAACACGAGTAATTTAGTAATTTCAGAGAAGACAGGAAAATGGGAAAAAAAGAGGAGGAGAAAAGGAAAAGCAGAAGAAGAACACCCTGAATTAGTCTTATTTTTTGTTCACTGATTTTTAGGGGATTCGGATTCATCATTTGTTTTTTCAAATTTTCGAGACAGAAAAATCATAATTCAAAATTCAATAATTACTTACCATTTGAAAGTTTCGGTCTACCGAAATACTCTTCTCTTACAAGATTTTGAGAATACAAAAAAACAAGTGAATGCAAAATTTGAGAGCAAAAAAAAGAGTTTCCAAAAAAGGAAAGTGCTTGAAAGTCGTTAGTTGGCACTTTTAAACTTTTTTTAGACATGATGAGTTTTTAGTTTTTTTAGGTAACTGAACTTTTAACATGTTTTTTCTTTCTGGAGAGGACAAGAAAAAACATAGACAAATGAAGTATTTTCAGATTTTTCCGAAAAAATTCTTTTGAATTGAAAGCATAAAACGGTCTCTGGGCTTGACTTTCTCGGGTCATAGTTTCCTTCAGGATCAATTTTTTTGACCAATTAAAATAGATATGATAGAACTCTGCGAGTTCTAAAAAGTGATACTACTTTGAATATTGTATCTTGTCGATGAACGAAGTTACGAGCCAAAAACCGTCTGAGCTACGCGATCGCAACTTTATGGCTCGTAACTTTGTTCATAGACAAGTTACAGTATTCTAATTGATCTAATTTTGTAGTACTCGTCAATTTCTATTATATATTTTTAAGTTCGTCCAAAAGTATTGATCTCAAAAAAAAGTATGACAGGGTCTGCGAAGGTATCAGATACCGAAAAAACGATAGAACACAGTACGGTTTTTAGAGTGAATGAATATTAATGCTTGAAAATGTAAAAAGTGATGAAATAAAACTTATGAAGCAGTAATTATTTTTCCGGATAATTTATACTAAAAACGTATTTCTTCAAATATCACTTCCTCAATTATTTCCCGGCCTACCAGTCAACGTACTTGCGACCGGGCCCTGGCGATCATTCCCAAACTATAATTTCTTTTAGGATCAATATTTTTAGAAGATACAGGTTTGAAAATAATAACATCTTGTAGTACTGGTCAAGTTGGTCAAAAGATATTGATAATAAATTAAAATATGGCAGGGACTGCGAAGATATCCGATAATCGAAGTACAATTTTTTCGAAGTGAAAAGAGAAGCAGTGCTTGAGAATGTTAAAAGTGACCAAATGAAATTCATGAAGCAATAATTGTTTTTCCGGATAATTTATACTGAAAACGTACTTCTTCAAATATCACTTCCTCAATTATTTTTCCAATAATAGACCACCTACCAGTCAACAAGAGTTAATGACGTTGAAAAATTTCATATGGCTATATAATTCCCTTAATAATTACCCCTAGACACTATAGAAAATTCTAGAACTTTGTGAATTGGTCAAGAAGACGTTACTCATCTTTGATAGTAAGAAACATTATTCCTAAAGCCACGTCACTATTCGAGAACTCTGAACTTCTGGAAGGAAACGGTGAACTATAAATTAAAAATTAATTGAGAAGTGTAGGAGAAACACACGAAAAGCCAGGCGAAAAGAAAGAAAAGAGAAAGTCACGACATAGTGAGTAATAAAAAAAAAGAGAAGCAGCTGAAAAAAAACGACGAGGTTCCAAAGTTGCCTTTCATCTGAATATCCTTCTTCTCCCAAAAAAATTTGAGGATCTTTGAAAAGAGGGTCTACTGGAGAGAAAAAAACGAGGAAATTTTGTTGGAGCAAAGAGATGATTCTATAATTTGAGAGCAGGAAATGATCATATTTCTGATGAGAGGGAGGGAGGACAAATAGGAAGGGAAGTGACTTCTTGTTTTTTTTTGGTGAATATTTTGGAACAGAGATTGATTTATTTTAAGTGAGGAACTGATTTCAGAGAGAGAGAGAGAGAGAGTCATTAGTTGACTTCAGGTGGATTTCCGATTCTAGCGAGATTCCGAAAACTTTGAAAAAACGAATTCAAAGAGAGGTGTTGGAAATTTTACCGACCTAATTTTGATTGAATTATTTAGAAGCAAGGGTCCTAGGTCCATCGGAACATTGGAATTAATATTGACAAACTGAATAATGTTATAATTGTGAAACGGTAAATTTTTTTCTTTTTTTCGGGAGAAGATTATCGGAAAGTGTGGCAAGTTAATGCTATAGAATCTCCCATACATGCAACTTGACTTCAATTATCTCGCTTTCTTTAAGAGATATAAAATATCTGTCAACTGATGAAATGTTGGTGATATTACGACAAACATTCTATCAGTTGACAAAATTTTGATATCTCTCACAGAAATTGAGACAATTGAGCTCAAAGTGCAGGAATGCTGTCTATCAGAGTAAACAGATACCGTAATGGGTCTAAATCACTGAATACCGAAAATCGTGAAACTGAATAATGTGGTAATTGTGAAAAAGTACGGTAATTTCTCTGATAAAATCAAACTGATTTAAATGGAGATTCTAAGCATTGACTTCAAATTGGCACTTTTCGTATAGTGCAAAAATGTAAATTTTCAAAGAACGCTTGATGTATCTGGTTTTATATTTTCAACAAAGATCAAAAAAGTTAGCCGGAGTACTTTGAATTTTGGTGGTCTGCAGGTGTAATTTAGAGAAAAAAAATAGATCCTCAATAAATCATTGAAACAAGCAGCAATATTTTTTTCTTGTTGGAAAGGCTCCTAAAAAGTTTCAACAGTTACTTTTGTGATGTTTTGGTACTTTAGGGACTTTTGACGTACCGAGACGTCAGAATTTTTTACTGATTCAATGAGGTTATTTAATTATTTCAGCACCTAAAAATTAATTCCTGGGTTTCAACAGTGTGTAATATATTTTCTAACATTCTCCAGCTGATTCATGCCCTCTAATAATTTTTACCCAAAGTAAAAGATATCGAAAAGTGATAAACTAACAAAATATTTTTTTTATTTATGATAAAAATTTAATCAGTTGACCGATTATTGATACAGAAAACGAGAAAGTTCAGATGGAAGTTAGGGATCCCTTCTATCAGAGGAGTTAGAGAAACACAGAAATCAACTTATAATTGTTGAAATAATAAAATGAGTCATTGAAACGGAACTTTTTTTTTCAAAAAATCGTAACTCTCAAATGCATTCACTTTTCATTGTCTAGGGCGTATCGAAAAACTTTGTACTTTTTTTTGGCTAACCGGAAATCATTGTTATGTCTGTCTGGGGCTAAAATGTCAATTCATGATGACTGGAAGCAAAAAATCTCATATGAATTGAAAAAAAAACGAAACTCTGATCAGTTGGAAGAAAACGTGTGAAGATGAAAGTTGATGAGAATTCTTGATGAGTCCACACCTACTTTTCCTAAAATATTCTGATAAGTGAAACATTATTTGATAGATCAAGCATCGTGCAAGTAATGGAAACCTGAAACTATAAAAAAATAATTTTTTGAAACCGAAAATATTTTTTTCTTGCAACAAACTTTGGTTGTTGTTTCTTTTACCGGAAACATGGAGAAATTTTTGAATTCCCTCTTCTTTATATAAATATTGGAGTTTGAACTATGAAATTAGAAAAGTCTAGAAAAAAAGTAGAGAATAAACATTAATTTAAAGAAGAATTAGATGAGTCATTGGCTAGCATTCAAAGGAAGGGAGTGTGAAGTTATCGGGGTGGGACAATTTGAGCTCAATTTATCTCAGCTCCCATAGGAGATATCAAAAAATTGTCAACTGATAAAATGTTGCTGATATTATGGTAAGCATTTTATTAGTTGACAAAGTTTAGCTATCTCTTAAACAAAGTAAGATAATTGAGCTCAAAGTCCAAGAATGAGAAGGCGCCACCGTAGCTCAGCTGGTCGTGGCGCTACATCTCTAATAGAGACTCATAAGTTCAACTCCTTGAGTTCTCTATGACGAAATTTTGAGAATATTCTTTTAAGGCTTAATTGTTTTTAAAAATACAGAAAAATTTAAAAACTAAACTTTAAAAATATTTGAAAACCTATCTGAAGCTTTCGGAACCTTCCAAAACCAAAATTCTTCGAAAAATGACGGATTTTCAGGAAATCCACCTATATTATTAGCAATTTCAACGTCCTCGTTTGCGTGTATGGACAGCGGGTGGCAATTTCTTCAGCTGTCACTTTTTCAGTCTGTTTTTTTTTCAGATTTCCACATCACGCGATTAATTCGCAGGAAGTCCCTCTTTTTCAAAAAAAAACAAGTCTAAAAATTTAATTCTGAGAACCAAAATAGTCGTATTAAGAAAAAAACAAACTTTTGAACAATAGTAATAAGCTGAGGAATTGAATGAGCAGAGAAAGCATTCTAAGGAAGCCCTCTGGGTTCGTATCATTTGAAGAATTCGGTGCTAATTCGATTAGTGACACCGCTTTTCATGAATAATTATCATGTTTTTTGTCTCTTTTTTCGCCGTCATGGGCACTTCTTTCTTCTTTTTTTTCAGCTTTTCAGCACCAAGAAGACAAATGAAAGGGGTGGGAAAAAGCTAGAAATGAACAATTAGAAGAAAATCAAGGATCTTTGTTATTTTTTGTCTGGATTCCAGACTCTGGAACGAAAAACGGGGCTAAAAATGAAAGGTTACCTTATCATATCAGCTGAAGGTTTCTTTGGAAGCGCTGAAAATGAGGATTGATTAGGACATATTATGATTTGTAAGAAAAAGTAGTTTAGAAGAGCAGAAAGAAGCCATTTTAGTGTGAATAAGCAACTTGATTGGGTGGGGGATAAGCGGGAAAATTATGCATTTTTTTGCTGTTTCAGTTTTTATGTAAGTCAAAAACAACGATTTGATTGTAATCGCGGAGGTTGATTACGCCGTAAAACAGAAAATCCAAAAATTTCAGGATAGGTTTTTCAGGATCAGTTTCCAGGGGTGTCTATCACATCCTGAAAATTTTATCAACGTTTGAAGTGACCAGTTATTTCAAAATGATCAATTTCAAAGATAAATGGTCAACTTTAGGTGCCTGAAAGAGTACTTATTTCATGTCCGGAGGGTCTGACAAACTTGTGACTTGAAACAATATAGAACATTTTTTGTGGCTCACCGGGAGTGCTGCTCCTATACTTTTAATTATCCCCATTCCTGTGAAAAGTATCAAAATTTTGTCAACTGATAAAATGTTGGTGATATTATGACAACCATTTTATATTTATTTATTTATTTATTTATTTATTTATTTATTTATTTATTTATTTATTTATTTATTTATTTATTTATTTATTTATTTATTTATTTATTTGTTTATTTGTTTATTTATTTATTTATTTATTTATTTATTTATTTATTTATTTATTTATTTATTTATTTATTTATTTATTTATTTATTTATTTATTTATTTATTTATTTATTTATTTATTTATTTATTTATTTATTTATTTATTTATTTATTTATTTATTTATTTATTTATTTATTTATTTATTTATTTATTTATTTATTTATTTATTTATTTATTTCGACAACATTGCGATGTCGCTAATAGAAATCGAGATAAATGAGCTCTAATTGTTTAGGGTGATGTTGTATTAAAACATTCACCGTGGTAGGATCATAATTTCGCATTTTTAAAAAAGTATCGTCTGTTTTTATTCTTGAAAGTACATTTATGAATTTTTTGATGAAGTTTCAAGAAGAATATATGACTCTAAAAGCCTACTCGAACCCAGCAGTGAGCAAAAAGGAACTTTTTGAAATTGAACGCAGAATATCCTCTTCTTACGACATTTGGGTTTCTGAATACACAATTAATGCAACTTTTCGACTTTCCAATATTTTCGAATATTTCGTTTAGGAATTTTCACTTTTAATGAGCCAGGTCTTTTTTCAATAATGATAACCATTTTGAAACTTTCAAAATGAATTTTGTTATTGCATATGCAGCCTACGGAGCAAAAGGATCATGATTTATACTCGATTATGCAAACTATGAAACATTTTTTTTATTCGAAAATTGTCAAACTCAAATATTCGATTTTCTATTATTTCCGACACTCACAGAAAGCGGTACAAGAAAACATTGAATTTGGATTCCTAAAAAAGGTTCTCAAATGAATAAATTTCTGAAAAAAAGTTCTTCTGGTGGCCAACGGATCTGCTACATAATATGTTGGAAGAAAAAAGAAGAGATGAAATGAATGACAAAAGTGTTTTTCTCTCCTGAAACTCACAGTTTCTGGAAAAAAGAGAAAAAAGATGATGATGAAAATATGAAAAAGAATGAAAACAAAAGTTGGTTCTTTTTCTGAGAATTGTCCTTGTTATTTTTTTTTCGGGATTCCAATTTGAGAAATATTCTACAGGATCACAAGATTACTGTCATCGAAAAGACGGCAAAACTTTGGAATAGACTTTATCAGATTGGACGGGATTTTGAGATTGTTCTTGACATTCTTGTGTGAAATTCACTAAATATTTATGAAAAAAGAAAAATCCTAAATGACACTGAAATTTCTACTAGCCAGTGTTTTTTTATTTGAAAGAAGGAATCAGAGGGAAGAATCAGTTATTGCTTTCTCTGGGCCCCAGAGAGGGGAGCACGGAGAAGGGATCCCTGGGTCCTGGGTCCTGGGTCCTGGGTCCTGGGTCCTGGGTCCTGGGTCCTGGGTCCTGGGTCCTGGGTCCTGGGTCCTGGGTCCTGGGTCCTGGGTCCTGGGTCCTGGGTCCTGGGTCCTGGGTCCTGGCCTAGATTTTACTAGGTCAGAAATTCTTGCGAAATTCACTAAATATTGCGAGAAAAAATCGATAGGTCTTCCCCTGCACGACTGTCCTCTTCGCAAATTTTACAAGAATTTGCTGCCGGTTCCTTCAAACTCGGAGAAATTCTTGCGAAATTCACTAAAAAACTCTGGAGAGAATTGATGCAAAAAACAACGAAAAAGAGGTAAAAGAACGGATAAACGGATAAAATAAACGGTTCGGCCCCCAAATTGCCCGCGGTAGGTCCGGGGTATCAGGTTCCAGTAATAAAATAGAAGAATAACAACAAGAAATGTAACAAAATCGGTTTATTATGAACAAGTTAGAAAGAAAAAAACAAATACAAGCTTAGAATTCAAGCAAGCTCACTTGAAATCCTTAAAAAGAGTCTCTCAAAACTACGAGCCAAATCCAAGCTCGCGATCACTCAAAACTAAATTTAAAGCGGAGTGTCGTTGCGTGGTTAGAGGGAACCTTTAGAAGGGGTTGGAGGGTAACTGCCCCAGGCAACTACCTGATTTTTTCTAGGTGGTGACCAATTTTTTTTGCGTCGTGACCTGATTTTTCTAAGTCATGACCTAGATTTTTCGTGTCGTGACCTAGAGCCCAGTTTTCTGTTATTTTCGTCCCAAACAATACATTTTTGATAATGAGAAAATTGAATAGAAATGCACGGAAACCGCGGGAAAAATCCAACAAACAACACTTTCTTTAGGTTACGGTAGTTGTCGTTGTGGAAACTAGGCCACCGGCCACCGGCATTTCTCTTCTACTGTTATTAATGTTTTGCTTAACCAACCCCTTTAATGCTTTAATGTTGTTATTATTATTTTCTCGTAGTCAGTACCCCCCCCCCCACGTACACTGATTACCCAGCTGTCAAACATCAAACTGTCTGATTTTCCGAACTATTTTGTAAAACTTGTTGTTTGAACAGCAGTCTTGTTCATACTTCATGTCATATCACTAGTTCGTACTTCTTTCCATAGTTCAACGATGTCCACAATTTACAAGCTTCCTAACAAATTTAACGAAAATATTCACCTATTTATATCTTCATTTTTTGTTTCAGTTGTTGCTGTTTTCTCTTTTTATCACATCGAAATTCTACCAGAAGTTGTCCAATTCGGTGAGTCTCCATACTCCCAAAAACTTGTAAATTATCCTTTTCAGACTACAACACAATATTCTTAGTATTTCTAGTTTGCTCTCTTCCATTTGTCCTACTGGATCCGCCAATTTGGTACTGTATTTTCATGACCTCTTTTAGTCACTTCCTATGTTTCAAAGGTATTATTCAGAATTCATGAAGGCTTCTACATGGATTTTTACAGAGTTCTACACATTGTCTCTCGTTACCTGTTTCGTGATGGTATGCGGGTTAATAATAAAGTCTGAAGTTATCACAGATTTCGAGGAAAAGGAGGCATTGTGTCATGTTTGAAAATCAATTGAGTTTGTTAAGATTCTAAATTAAAGTTGTAAAACGTTGTTTTCCTTTCAAACAATGTATGATCTGAGGGAAACAAAAAGCTTCGGATATATTTCATTCTGAAAATTCTCGGAATTTCCAGAATTCCGTTGGAGAGCTCTGAAACTATCTTGCTCTCTGAAAAATTCGAATGTGCAGTGCGAAGTTCATTTCAAGCTTGATCAAGAGTAAAAAACCGGGTTAAACATGTAAGAGTGAGAATCATTAGTAGGCCCGAATACAATCAAAGAAGATTAACAACGTGCAAAATGCGAAATACATGCGTTGGGGAGCGAGAGATTTGATAGTTTTCTACTGAGGGACATTGATCTATTATGCATTGTTGATGACGTGGAGTGTCCATTGTTCAATATCTTCCACAGATTTCGACGCTTCGTGCAATTCGCTGTGGAAATTGAGCATCGCGTGGAAACCGTTCTCGTAGTTGATCGTCGTTGTAGGCACACCGGCCGCCTCTAATCGTTGAGCATAAATGAGTCCCTCGTCGCGAAGAACATCAAATTCGCAAGTGAGCACCATCGTCGGCGGCAGGTTAGACAAATCCTTTCTCATCAGTGGGGAGAAATCTGGATTCGTGAGGAAGGGTCTCATCAGGTCTTGTGCTTCGAAGTTTCTTTCGATTTCCCATCGTTCAGAGATACTGTGGTTTCGGTAGTTGCGTGTTGATTCAATGACGATTCGATGAGACATCATCTGAAATTAAATTTTTTTGAAATTTCGATACAATCAATAACCAATACCTCTTCAACTTCTGGCTTCAAATCCTTTGCCACGTGTCCATTTGAAATCACACTCGGAATGAGATACGCCTTCTCGTCCATATCGATTCCAGCGTAGAACATATAGTAGTAAGCTACAGACTCTGGATCCACTAGAGCGTATCCAGAGAGTCGGGAATGAAAGTATCGATAGGAGATCGTCTGCATGTCAGCCATTTGGAGAAGTGGGTAGATCAAAACTTGACCAGCGAGTGCTGGAGAAGCATTATGAGCCGCGCGTCGTTGAGCGATAACCGTAGCCAAGTTTCCACCGGCCGAATCTCCCATGATGACGATTTTCGAAGTGTTGACACCGAATTGGCTGGATGCGTTGTCGAAGAAATAATCGATGGCAGCTTCGCAATCCAAAATTCCACCGGGGAAAATGGTTTCCGGTGAGAGACGATATTCGATAGATATGAACAGTGTCTTCATTTCGTGGGCCATTCGCTCCACCAACGAATCGTACATCTCAACGTTACCCAAAGCGAAACCACCTCCATGAATGAAGATGACAGCTCCGTCAGTGGATGTTCGATTATCGATCGGGCGGTAGACTTTGACTGGTGTTCCGTTCCATTCATGCCATTTAATATCGATTTGTCCTTGTGTGTCAACGAGGAGCCCCAGGGTTTTTGACAAGATATTCAAAGCGCCACGTGTCCAGTAGACCATGTTGCTGGCTTTTGAGAACATTCGGCTCTGAAAATAGATAGATTTCTAGGCGAATTCTCTAGCTAGACTAACCGGATAGTAGTAGGCGACTCGAAGCGCCGGCTCGACGACGTGCATCACAGCGCGATCCCACTTGGTGACGGTGAATCCTTCGGGAAGCGGCTTGTGTAGAGAGTATCCAGTGATTAGAAGAATCATCACGGTGACGCCGATGACGGTGTACTTTAGACGCTTCTTTTGCTCTTTTTCTGCTGTCAGCATCATTTTCGGTGTTTTAGGGGGCGGGTTAGTAGATATTTACAGGAAGCTATTTACAGAAGACAAGAGTGAGGTGGAGACCTGAAAAATGAGTGGAATTTAGAGGGAAAATTGGGAAATAAAGAGAGGAAACGAAGAACGACGATAACTCGAAACAGAAGCATTCGGTAAAAAAGCAAGCAAAAATTTCGATTTCTCGCTTTTTTGAAGAAGATAAAGACATCAATTTTCGTCCGAAAAAACTGAGACTGAAGCACAAAAATGACGAGAAATCGAGTGATGACTAGGAATAAATGAGAATAATATAAATCTGCCGCCGTCCTAAAATGTGCGCAAAATCAGAAGATCAATTTCTACACATTTTTGAAGAAAAACAAGTATGGAATTAGACAAAAATTGCGAAAAATTCTGCGAAAGAAATAGGTGAAAATGCGAAATGTTGTCAAGTGAGGCGCAACTTACGCGAACACCGCCACGACAGAGTGCACACCCATTCGGATTGGCGGGGAACTCGGCCTTTTTCAGAATTTTCTATGCTCCGTCCATGGTTCCAGATTTTTTTTCAATTCTTCAAATAATTTTCCGATGCACGCTCTCCCACAGAACAATTCCGAACTGCAAATTAATTTTTGACCTACAGAAAAAAGTTTGGCGCGATCACAATTGCAGGTCTAAAACCATAATTTCAGAATTTTTTATCTGATTTTGTGGAGTTCCAAGATGATTCAAATGATTCTTAAAAAATTAATTAGTGGTTATAGATTCATGTATGGTCGTTTTCCGGAAGAAAAAAAATGTCAAAAATGGTCATTTTTGACATTGGGTACATCAGAAAAGGGTACATCGAGGGTACATCGAGTTCTTAGGGTACATTGGATCAGAGGGTACATCAGTTCTCAGGGTACATCTGGGAGGTAGGTTCAAGGGGTACATCTGGCGTTGGTTCTGAGGGTACATCGGAGAAAGGATCCCAGGGTACATCGACAAGTTCTTAGGGTACATCAATTAAAAATTTTGTAGTTGTCAGCTGGGAGATATTTAGGTTTACACTGCACTATTTTATTTGTTTTTTTTTGTCGATTTGTTTGAAAAAGTACAGTTTTTTTATATATTTTTTTTTGATTGATTCATTTATTATAGCTTGTTTTCCTGGAGCTTATCATACTGAAATTCGCTGTACAAAAAAGGTGGGAAATTCGATTTTTATCAAAACAATATGAGTAACTTTCAACCAAAAACTCTTCAAATGTTCCAGAACAGGAAACATCATGAATTAAAAAATTCAAGCTCTCGGAAACTTTTCGGATTTTTATTTGGAAACATGTATCTATAAAATCACTAAAAAGACTCCAAAACGAAATTTGTTTTCAATTTCACAGAAACAAAAAATGTGGATGAGGTACGGTTTGAACTCGCCTCTGCAGTTTGTCGTGCACGTACGCTCACCCCTAGACTACTTCACCGATTTTCACCTTGCCCACCGCGACCCGTACATATCTTCGGTGGTTTCTAAAGCAGGAAGAAAGTTTGAAGGTGGAATTAGCAACAATTTCCGGAAGGTTTTCCAAGGCAAGACATGTAAACTAGTACTGGCTAGTTGAAACTCCTGAAAATTAGGACTGAACTTCCCGTATTATTAGTTTTCTCTCTGTTTCATTTTTTTTCAAACAAATCGACAAAAAAAACAAATAAAATAGTGCAGTGTAAACCTAAATATCTCCCAGTTGACAACTACAAAATTTTTAATTGATGTACCCTAAGAACTTGTCGATGTACCCTGGGATCCTTTCTCCGATGTACCCTCAGAACCAACGCCAGATGTACCCCTTGAACCTACCCCCCAGATGTACCCTGAGAACTGATGTACCCTCTGATCCAATGTACCCTAAGAACTCGATGTACCCTTTTCTGATGTACCCTTGGATACTGGGCCCTCGTTTTTCAAAAAAAAAGACTTTTTCTGACATAAAAAATTTATTTTTTGTAGTAGCGGTCTAAAAATTGTGGGCGATATGTATTTTTACATGGACTTTAAAGGTGGGGGGACATGAAAAAAAATAATGTTCTCGAAATTCCGTTCAAAGATGCCCCTCGAGGAGTTGAACTTGTGAGGGCGATGATTGAGGGTGCGGCGCCGCTACCGAATGAGCCACGCGGGCAAGGAGAAAACGCACGCCCGATTGCATACATAAAGGCGAGGACGACAGCTGTACGCAGAGTGACATTTAGCGTTGTACACCGTGACGGTAGAATGCATACTCTAGCTACAAAAAAAACTACGAAAAATCTCCTGTCCCCCCACCTTTAATATTATAACAACCCCAAACCTCCAAGATTTCCCACCTTGTCTACCGAGGGTGAACCTATACTTATGAAACGCACTGTATCAAATATCAACAGAAAATTTTTGAAGTTTTCGGTCTCTGGATCGGCCGGGTCGGGCCGGGCCGGGAAAATTTTTCTCCAGCCCGGGCCGCAGCCAGGGCCTACCCGGGCTGGACCGGAATTTTTAGCAAGTATGGTTTTTTCTGCTCAAAAAAATAACTTTTTCTGTGTTATTTTTCTTGCTCGGCAACCGATACCATTAGATTCCTCTCATGATTTTACGTATAATACGCCTAGCTGCCGAGCTAGCTTTTCAAAATTAAGCCGTGTAAGAACCTACCAAAAATCTGCCGAGGTGGCTTCCACCACAGGACACCAAGTAACTCATATGTGCCGTCTACTTTATGTGCTGAAGTGGATTTCATTGTGTTAAGCTTGAAGAGAGCGTTCGAATGGTGGTAAGATAAACTCTTAAAGGAGGGCAGACAGCAAAAATTTCGGGGAAAATTTCAGGGAATGTGTATTTTGCCGTCGCGGTGTTCGCACCTAAAGCACGCAATCCCACGCGCAAACATTTTTATTTTTTTATTTCCCGACTTTATTTTTTTCAATTTTTAACGACTTCAAACATTAAAAAAGCTCTTTTTTCTTATTTATTATAAAACCCATATAAAAGTGAATTTTTTATGTAAATTTAAAGTCCTATCGACCGATTATTTTGCCAGTCGCCGGTGTTTTTTATAGGCATGCGAAAAAAAACTATTTTCTCTTCGATAACCGTTTCTTCACTGTTCCTATTTATCTCATTACTTCTCGTTATTACTCTAGGAATAAAAACTGTTTTATGACTAGGGTTTTCAGAGACGTCTCCATTTTTACTGCTTCCTTCACCTTCCGACGACCAGCCCTGCACGAGGATTGTTTTAATTATGTGGTTTTTTTTTCAATTGTTACCGTAAAATCTGTATTGATATTGCGCCTCTATTTGAATTGCCCCTCTAATAGACTTGCACCCCTTGAGGGCACTTGAAAAATAGACTTGCAGCCTTTAATTGAATTGCCCCCGTAATACAATTGCATCTCCAGCAGAATTGCGGCTCCGCCGGGAGTACTGTGCAATTTTTAGTCTGTGACGCCGTGACGAACAATTGCACAGTTGTTTTTCGAATTTCTTTTTTTTTAAACTACCTACTTAATTTCTGATTTATTTTTATTTTTCTTTGTTTTTTTAACAATATTTTCCATTTATTGAAGCGAGCAACACGAGCAATGAGTTCTGAAGAAGTCCTCGAAGACGTGGAAAACGTAGAAGACGTGGAAGACGTGGAAAACGTGGAAGACGTGGAAGACGTGGAAAACGTGGAAGACGTGGAAAACGTTGAAAAAGTTGGTGGAAACTCTAGAAAGAGAAAGCGTGGAGCCCACCCCTTGGATTACAAGCTTACGGTGGTGAAATGGGCAGAATCAAAAAATAACACGGAAGCAGCTAAGAAATTTGGAGTTTCAAGACAAAATGTGCAACAATGGAGAGCTCAGAAAGAAAAAATAATAGCAACAATCGCTGAAAATAGAAAAAAGAAAAAACGGCTTGATGGCGCAGGGCGTAAAGTGAATGATAAAGATTTTGATACTAAACTTGCGGAATGGGTCCGAGAGCAAAGAGAAAAAAAGCTTTGTATTACTCGTATTGGAATCCAGAATCGCGCCAAGTCTATTTCAAATAGTGATATGAAGGTTTGAAAACAGATTACCTACTTGAGATTAAACATTAAATGTTGCAGTTCTCGAATGGATGGCTGGTTTCTTTTTTGAAGCGGCATGGATTTTCGAGTAGACGTGCTACAACAGTCTGTCAAAAACCGCCAGAGTTTTATGTGGAGAAAATTATTGACTTTCTCCTTTATGTGGAACGATTAATTACCATGAATAATTATGACAAAATTTTCGCATGTGATGAGACGGCGGTTTATCTGGATTGTTCGAATAGTTTGACTGTAGCGGATCGAGGATCTAAACAAGTCAGCACACTCAAAAATAACAAGCTAAACGTTTCAATTTCAGGTTTCAGTGAAAACCACGGGACACGAGAAATTGCATGTTACAGTAATGCTGTGCGCTCGATCAGACGGTTTTAAGTGCAAACCTTTTGTACTTCTTCCAAGAAAAAGACCAGTGCAAAGTATTGAGGAAACATTTAGAAAAACTTTGCAGTTGGTTTGGTGTGACAGAACATTTTTCA